ACAACACTGGCAAATCGGCGGCTAACCTGTGCAAGGTATGATCGGGCAATACCTCCAATCTGCTATACCCACCCCCTGTGGAATGGCGCCTGCACGGGGCACGCGGCCGCAGGACACTCCACAGAGACGCGTGGGCCTTGAGGGTCACGCGCAAGGCGAGAGAAAAGGAGACTGCAGGTGTCGCCACCAGCCTGGCCCGGGACGTCGCCCACAGCGCCGGAATGCCTCGAGCAGACTTGAGCCCAGATAGCTTGAGCCAAAATAGCTACGGGGGCCTGGCCGTGTTGGGACGTCTTGGAGGCATTTGGCCGTCCTGGGGCTCTCTTGGGGGCCTCTTGGGGCCCACTTGGGAGCCTCTTTGGGCCCTCTTGGGGCTCTCGTGGGGCCGTCTTGGGGCCCTCTTGCACCGTTTTGGGGCACTCTCCAGCCGTCTACGATCTTTGGGCCCTCCGGGGCCGTCTTGAAGCGTCGGGCAGCCGAAAGGGCGAGAACGGCAAAATCATACAAAAACCTTGGAATCATCAATGATTGTTGCCTCCGTGGGCTCTTTTAAGAGGCCTCTTGGGGCGTATCGGGACTTTCGCGGACCGTCGTGGAAACCTTTTGGGCCGTCTTGGACACATCTTGTCCGAAATTGAAGGCCTCTTGGTCCCTCTGGAGCCGTCTTGGAGGCCATCTTGGCCCCTCTTGGGCTCTCTTGAGGCCTCTGGAGGCCTCTTGGGAGAAAAATTGGGCGTGCTACATCCGGGCATCCGCCTGCCAACCTCCACGAACTCCCCCTGACTCAATTTCTTCTGGCCGACGGATTGCACACTACGCGCGCTTTCCGTCACCTACACGGAGGTTAAGCCCGTTTGGCCATTTGAGCCAGCTTGGCCGTTTTAAACCCGCCTGGCCAGATTGGCCGTACTGAGTCGCTTGGCCGCTTGAAATCGCTTGGCCGCATTAACGCGCCTGGCCGCTCGAACCCGCCTGGTCGTTTCAACCAGAGGCCGAGGCCAAGACGACGTCGGCAACAGATGATGTTTGTGAGGATGACCCTAGCGAAATCGCGATGGTGGAAAAGAGCGATGTCGATAACATCTCATATGCGTGAGGATGTCTCGAGCGAAATCGCCATTCTGATCCAGACCGAGGCCAAAACGACTTCGACGACATCTCATTTCTGTGTGACGTCCCTGGCGACATCGCACTGTGGGGCAAGAGCGATGTCGACGACATCTCCTTGTTGTGAGGATGTCCTTAGCGACATCGCCATCTTTGGGTGAAGACGTACGGCGTCATAGAGCCATGCTTGTTTGGCCGTTGGGCCGCCTTGAGGCCTTCCGAGAGCGATCCCGCGACATCTAAATTCCCCAATCAGTGCTTGCACTGAAGGGGTCCTAGCGGAGATTGAAGAATTTGGCGAAAATTTCCCACTGGTTTTGGTGGCAGGCTGGGTTCCCGGGTTCCCAGTTCCGGTTTCCTGGGTTCCCTGTTATTGGTTCCCGGCCGATTTCGGTGAGTTCTGGGTTCCCGGGCTCCCGGGTTCCCGGTCGATTTCTTCAGCGAAAACCATCCATTGATTGGGGCTTTTCTCTGGTGTAATTGTTTTAGGATGTCCCAAGAAGAATCGCCAATTTGGCCACAAGATCCCTGGGCCGACACATGCCGACCCCCTCAAACTTCTCCAATTCTTCCTGCTAACGGATCGCACGCTAAGCGCGCTTTCCATCACCCGCCGCCCCCAAGGGTGCACGGCATGCCAAACGTAGTAGGCATGTGTTGATTATGTTTGAAGGTTCCCAAAGGCCTTCGGCCCAACCCGCCAGCCATCCGTAACGCTCCGTCAGACCTGGTGGGCACGGATTCCTTTCCAGAAGGACCCGACGACTTCCAAGATCGTCGGTCGTCCCGCTCCACACGCATGTCCCCAAGAGAGCCCCAGATGGCCCCAATATGTCTCCAAAATGGGCCGAGATGCCCTAAGAGGGCCTCCAAGACGGACGAGATGGTCTCAAAGACGGCTACGACGGCCCCAAGAGAGCACAATACAGCCCCAAGATGACTCCAAGACGGTCCGAGATGCCCCCATGATGGCTTCAAGATCGCCCAAGGGACCTCCAAGACGGCTCAAGAGGCCTCCAAGAGGACCTCCAGGAAGGCCCGAGGAGGCCAAAATCATCAATGTTCTAATTGTTTTGAAGAATTCTGGCAGTTGACCGTTTTCGGCTTTCAGACGGCCCCCCCACAGGCCTCTCAGATGGCCACAAGAGCGCCCAAGAAGACTTCGAGATGGCTATGGCCCCCTGACGGGCCAAGAGGCCCCCAAGACCTCCACTATGTCCAAGATGGCACTGAAGCATCCTTTGAAAGTCCCAAGGCGGCCCAGAGGGGACCCCAAGACTGCTTCCGACGCCGTCGGACGGGCCAGAAACGCCCTCAGACGGCCAACGAGCCTCCCAAGGAGCCTCCAAACGCCCCAAAGGCCCAGAGTAGCACTCCAGAGAACACCAAGAAGCCACCATGAGGCCACAGGGAAGCTGCCAGGAGGCCCAAATAATGCCCCAAGAAGCATCCTTCTCCTCCTCCTCCTCCTCCTCCTCCTCCTCCTCCGTTTTCCTACCTCTCGTCATCGTCTTCTTTCTCCCCCACGTGTTCCCCGAAGGGTTTCAACCACGGCTGGGGGAATCATAGTCCGATAGCTTCGCCGAGCTGTGGCCGCAACGTTCGGCCAGATAGGCGCTTTCAAAAGGCAGGGGACTGCGGTGATTCGCCGTAGGCGCCTTCGATCCGCCGCCCCCTGCGGCTTGCATAAAGGGTGCACGGCGTGCCGAATGTTCGGTAGTTGTTGGTCCTTTGTAATGGTTCCCAAATAAGCATTCGGCACAACCCGCTGGCCACCCGGAAGGAAGCGCAAGGACGTTCAAGGAAAGTACACTTTGGAAACTCGCCTCCGCAAGGACCCGTAAACTTCCCAGGTGGTCGGTTTTCGCGCTCCAGACGGGCCTAAGAGGGCCTTCAAGACGGCCAAGATGGTCTCCAAGACGGCTACGATGGCCCCAAGAGAGGCCAAGATGGCCCCAATGCGCAGGACAGCCCGAGATGCTCCCAAGATGGGCCAAGGTGGCATCAAATCGCCCAAGACGGCCCAAGAGGCCTCCAAGACCGCACAAGAGGCCTCCAAGAGGACCTCCAGAAAGGCCCGCAGAGGACGAAACAATTGATGTTCCCATGGCTTGTTGAAGGATCCTGGCGTTTGCTCATTTTCTGCTTCCAGACGGTCCAACCAAGACGGCCCCACAGTCCATCAAAACGGCCCCAGGAGCGCCCAGGGAGCCTTAGAGATGGCCCTCTGACGGCCCAACAAGCCCTCAAGATGATTCCAGGAGGGCCTCAAGAAGGCCTAAGTCCGAGGCCCTAGGAGACCTTCAAGACGCCCAAGATGGCCTCCAAGGCGGCCCTGAAGCGCCCCAAAAGAGCCCCAAATCGACCGAGAGGGACCCCCAAAATTGTGTCCGTCAGCGTCAGACGGTCCAGGCCCCCCAAGGAGCCCCGAAAGGCCCCCGAGATGCCCAAGGAAGCCCCCAAGAGGCTTTACGGAGGCCCCAAGGACTCAAGGAAGATCCCAGGCGGCTTACAAAGTGCCCCAAGAGACTACCAAGAGGCTCTTCTCCTCCTCCTCCTCATCCTCCTCCTCCTCCGCCTCCTTCCCCTTTATGTTTCTCCCCCGCGTCCTCTTCGTACGTCTGCCCCACGTGTTTCCACAACGGCTGGGAAAACACTGAATCCGATAGTTTCGCCGAGCTCTGGCCACAACGGTCGGCAATATAGGTGCGTTCACAAGGCAGGGGGTGGCGGTGATTCGCCGTAGACTTCTTCGAGCCGCCGCCCCCTGTGGCGCGCCACAGGGGTGCATGGCGTGCCTCATGTCAAGAAATGGATGGTTCTTTCTAAATGTCCTCAATGGCCGTCGAGGAGGAGAAGAACCATAGGAATCGCCTCTAAGGCTACCAATGTTGTTTCAAAATTGCCTCCAAATAGTGTTGTTTTTATTTTTAAGACAGATAACGTTGTCCCAAGAGGGCCTAAGATGATCCCGAGACGCCTCCAAGCCAGCCGAAGATGCTCCCAAATGGCCCACGAGGCTTTCCAACACGCCCAAAGAAGGCTCAAAGAAAACCTCCCGAAGGCCCACACCATTGATTGTGTTTGAGTTGTTCCATCATTGTAGCGATATTGTCTCGTGTTCCTTCTCTTCCCGCTCCTCTTCCTTTCTCTGGCTCTTCCAAATGCTCCCCCGGAAAAAAAAAGGATTCCCTACCGGCTGGGGAAGCACATGTTCCTTTGGCTTCGCCAGACTTCGGCCCAACGTTTGGCCGCGTCAGCGATTCCAACAGGCAGGGGGCGGCAGTGACTCGCCGTGGGCGTTTTCGATTTGAAAGTGAGGTCCCTTCCCACGGGCCCGTCGGTCTACAGAGAGGGAATGCGGGGGGAATCTACAAAAAGTCCTACGTCTACCGTGCAGAAGGGACCCGCCATGGCCCAGGGGCCCTCACCCCCAACGGCCTTCAAGTGGTCGGGTGCTGGCCCTCCCACAAACGACGAAATCAACCCTGCGCACTGGCTCGGCCGCCATTTGGTCAAAACGCCGCCACCCGAGCAACAACCTGCACAGTTTCTGCGCTGGGGTCGGGAGATTCCCCTTTGGGATGCTTCGGGGCCCCATAGCGCCACGAGCCGCGCCGCTCGGCGACTCTTTGCAACAGTTTGGGAGCCATTCAGGGACTTCTACTTCGAGGCACCCGCTGGGCCATGCCCCGTTGCCCCAGCGGCACCTCGGGGCCTCGAGGACAACTTTGGGGCGACCCGTCGTCGTGGTCGCAATCGTCGTTGTCGTTGTCGTGGTCGTCGCCGGCGGCCGCTGCCGCCGCCGCCGCTGTTGTCGTCGTCGTCATCGCCATTATCGTCGTCATCGTCGTCGTCGTCGTCGTCGTTTTCGTCGTGGTCGGCATCTGCGCCTGCGCCAGCCCAATCTCCCGCGCGGGAGCCGCCGCCATCCTGGCACCTGCGGGGCCCCGCCGGGGGCGGCGACGACGTCGACGACGAGGAACAAGAGCGGTGAGGGGGAGAGAGGGACAGGACGGGATTGGACATCCGCATGAAGGGGTCGACGTCGAAACGCCCGCAAAAGGAGCTGCGGGGCACGAGTTGCAAAGCCCCTTGCGAGTGAAGTTTGCCGCAAACCCAGTTCCCGCGGGACCGGCAGGGGGCGTGCTCCGATGCTCTACAGGGCGAGCTCCGATGAGGCTCCGTGAGAGAGGCTCGCAACCTTGACAAGCAAGGCCCTACGGGTCAGCGCGGAGGGGGGGCGGCTGTCGGCCCTCTTGCGCGCCCATCCCATGGGGGACACGCTGGGCAAGTTGGGCCCCCAAAAAAGGAGAGGAAGACGACGCGACCTCACTCGGCGACGCAAGGGAGAGAGGAGAAGGGAGGGAATGAAGAACGCCCATTCGCGCCAAACTTATGCTGGGGGGGGGGCAAATTCATATTCTACCCAAGTCCTGCTGCGCCCACGCTTCGAGCAGAGCCCCCCCCACTCTAGACTCTGTCGCTTCCTGGGCGCGGCGGCCGATGGTCGAACCGTGCAACGTAGTGCCCGGCGCAAGTCTTGGAACGCACTGCGTCCAAATTCTCTGCAGCAATCAAAATGCACCCCAGCAATGCCCCTGCCCCCCCCCCAGCCGGCGCGCGTGCAGGGGCGAGCAGCGCCATCGATATCACGGGGCGTGCGAGGCCCCCACTTCTGCGATGCCGGTCGCGCCCCAGCGTCGTTCCACGGAAAGAGGGGCCCTCCGGGCGCGCCGCCGCAGGAGCTAGCCGCTACGCCTGAAATGGCGCACTTCTCGAGTCTCGGCGCCGTCGAGCGGGGTGCCCATGCTCTCGCGCAGTTCCTGGCGACGCTGGAACCTCTCGACCTCCTTCTACTCGAGCTTCCCGACGGTCTGCAGCTCCCCCTCGGGCGCCACCATGACGCCCTGCTGGTTCCCCAGGTCGTTCTTCGCGGTTCGCGTCGCAATCTCGCGCCAACTGCGCGTCGGAAAGTACGCCCCCCCCGCTGCTCGCCACGCGCCCACTGGGCACTTTGCAATCAGCGCGCAGCCCGGCGCGTGGAGCGTCATGGGGATGACGGGTGGGACCAGCGCCTGCAGGTCATATGGGCCCAGCTGCTGGGCTGCGTCGAAGAACTGGCGGCTGTGTTCTTCGATGGCGCAGTCGATCTTCTGCGGCAGCCTCTCAGCTGCGAGCGCCTCCCACTTGCCATTGACGAGGAGCTCCACCGCCGCCGACGGGCCGCCGCGGCGCGGGCGGAGCCGCGACGCGCGGCCGATCTCTGGCCACTTCGCCCTGTCCTCGGCGAAGTCTCTCTTTGTCTTGCCCATCCGTTCTTTTACGAGCTGGCCCTCGGGGAAGCCTTCCTGGGCAGACACCGGCGCCTTCCAGCCCACTTTGCACCGAAACTTCTACTGATCTGAACGCGAGTTAGCGCTGGGCCCCCCCCCCCGCCACATCTGGCCGGGGAAAACCCCGCGAGCAGGCGCAGTTCATGTGCCGGCCCCAGCCTGCGCGGCCCCTGCACGCATTGCAAAACTGCGCGTCGTCGTTCCACTTGTCCATAAAGTCAAGCGCCTTCAGGCGCTGGGTCTGCTGCGCACCCATGCTCTAGCACGTCTTGTAATTGCCGTACTCCTGCAGCTCATATCCTTCTCTTCCAGCGCTTGCTCGGCTGCCGTCCATGCTTCCCCGCCCTCGCATCGTGGTGTCGTACTCCTCCGCGCACTTCAGGGCGAACAGCCTATTCTCTCCTGCCTTGCTGACGGCCGCGAAGATGCTCCTGTTCTTCTTGATGCCGCCCACCAAGATCTTCGACGCCTCCCTGGGCCGATCGAGGACCTTCTTGTTTCTCTGGTTGCGCGACCTCTTCGGCTGACTGCCTTGCTCCTCCGCGTCGGTGATCGCCTCCGCTGCCTGGATTTGCCCCGTGGATTGAGCAGTCCGCGCTGGGTCCCTTGCGCGCTGCTTTTGGTCACGGCTCGCTTGCTCTTGCGCGATGTACTTCTCCCCGCCGTGGTGAAGCTTCTCCCCGTCGCTCAACTCGGACCGTTCCTCGCGCCTGAAGGCCAACTCGCAATTGACGCGCGCCCTCTTTCACTGGCTTCCTCTTCCTCCTTGGTTTTGCCCACGTTCTGGTTCGTTCTTGGCGCGCACCCCGTGGCTCTCCATCATCCTGTAGTGCCCGAGCCGTTCGCCGCATCGGCCGCATGGCCCACGCCTGTCGCTGCTGAGAGGAGAGAGGGGGGGGGGAATGGGGGGGGGGGAGATCGACGCGACGCGACCCCGACTTACGATTGGAATTTCGGCGGTCCCGCCCCAATGCAAATTGGGAGCAGAGCTTTGTTGTCGGCCCCTGGAGCTCTCGAGCTACTACAACGACGACATCAAGCAAAAACAGCTCGGGATCTCAGAGTGCCGGCAAGTCCACAGGACGCATCGGGCGGCGCTGCCTTTCCAGAGCGCCCCCAAACGCTCTGCGGAAAGATGCGCGCTTGTCCTAGGCCAGGGCCGGTCCGGCTGAGTGAGGACATGGAAGAGACGGGTCTGCACAGAATGGTGCAGGTAGGAGGTATCCGCGGTGCTGTCGTCGTGGTGGCGCTGGCGGCGCACGGCCACGAGGGTCTCCCGCTGCGTGGCCGCCTGAACTCCAGGGCGACTGTCCGCGGACGCACACAATCAGCGAATCCACAAAAGGAGCGGCTGAACGTTTTCTCACGCCTGGCGCTTGGGGTCTGGATGCTGGTTCCAGCGGCGAAGACACTGGCAAACAGAGACGGGCCAACCTTGGCCTTGTCCCCCGTGCCGGCCGGGAGCAACGCCGGGTTTTTGAGGCGGGCCATGGCCCGATGCACGCGGGCATCAACGGCGGCGGCCAGGCGTTGAGCTCATCGCGCACAGGTTCGCTGGCCACGCTTATGTAGCTCCTGACAAGCCTGAGCTCGGACTGGACTGCAAGGGTGGCTCCGTGAACGATGAAGCAGGAGGACATGAGCATAGAGCTCGGGGTCCGTCGCCCACTCCGCCACCTTGACGTGGTGACTTTCTGACACAATATCCAATCAAACGCAATCGGACAGCTAGAAGTGCCCTGGCCCGCGGTGCCCCCGCGATCTCCACGGAAGCCCCCACGTCTTTCAGAGCACCCCGAACGAGGCCCAGAGGGCCCCTTGGGGTCCAAAGCTGAAGGGGAAGCCGGGGGGGGGCATTTTGGGCCAGGGACACCTTTCTGTGGACCACGGCCGACCTCAGTGGCCGCGGGGTCTGTAAGGCTGTCGTCATCGACGCACATAGTGCTCAGCGCTTCGCGAATGAAGGGGCACGTCCAGCGTGGAGGGCGGGGTTGAAGCGACTCATGTTGGTCACCAGGTAGTCAAAGCACGTCTGCCACTCGAGGGCAGCACCCGCAAACGGGAGCATTACGCGCGCGCCCTCCATCTGTAGGGCGAGGGCGGCGCTGACGCCGCTGATGGCGGCCTGCGCGGCGGCCCCCAGACCGGTGAGTTCAGTCCACACGGCGCGCCCAGCAGCGAGGCTGTGGTGGGCGGGCCCCCCCCGCGGCCTACACCCTCTTGGCGTCGCGGCCCCGAGCGCAGCGTCGAGGCGCAGAAAGTCGGGCGAAGAGACGCGCGCGGCCGGCCCAGATCACGCGGCGTGGGGACTGGGATCCGCCCACGGCGCACACCCACGCAGACAAGACAGATAGACACCGCTTGTCCGTGGGATGCTCGAGCTCGCGCCACGGCCTCTGCGCAAGCACGGGCCTGGCCTGGGATGGGATTCAGCGGCTCTGGGATGGTGCCGCGCTTCGCATGGTCCGCAGGACCCGCGCGACCATGCGACGGAAAGCGTCCGGGAGAGCTGTGGCCTCGCAGGCGGTCCAACCGTCCATGGCAGTGCCGCCCCAGGATCGACTCTCACGTGTCGATCGCTTGGCGGATCATGGATCATAGCCTTGGTGTCGGCAGTGATCGCGAGACACAAAAATAATGGAGGAGATCGACACACAGAGGGGGGAGACAGAGAGGAAAAGAGAGGAAGAACAGTATGTGTGCTTATGTATGTATGCGTATACACTTATATATATATATATATAAATGTATAGGTGTGTGTATGTATATATATACACAGGGAGAAGGCAACACGGCACGTAAGAAATGACAGAGAGAGAGAGAGCAAGAGAGATAATCGACAGATATACATGTGCATAAGTCTTTACATGCGTGTGTACCTCTCTTCATCTCTCTCTCTCTCTCTCTCTCCCTCTCTCTCTGTCTATATATATATATATAGATATATGTGTGTATGCAGAGATCTGCCACCCTGCCCCTGTGGCACGAAGTGGAGTGCCCCAAGTAATTTGCCGAATATCTTAAGAATCCGTCCGTCCCCACTCCTAAGGGTTTCTGAGCCCATGCCCAAATTGCCAAATCTACTGAAGCGCGCCGCATGTTGTCGCGTGACCTTTTCAGGCCCAAAAGGGCCCCAAGACGGGCCCAGAGGGCCCCGAGAGGCCGCCAAAACGATCCAATGCGGCCACAAATCGCCGCACGATCAGTCCAACATGGCCCCAAGACGGCTCAAGAAGCCTTCCAGGCGCCCCATGAAAGCCCCAAGAGCCTTGACAAGAAGGCCCCAAGAAGCCACACGCATTAATTTTCCTTTGATGTTTTGGGGTTCTCACCGATTCGAACTTCCGACGCTCCAAGGCGGCCCAAGAGGCCCCCAAGAGGGTCCCCCCCAGACGGCCCAAGAGGGCTCCAAGATGGCCCCAGAGGCGCACAGGACGGCCCAAGAGGGCCCAAGGACAGCCCCAAGGGCCCAAAGGCAGCCCCAAAGGCCCACCAGGGCAAACGCGAACGGACAATCCCAGTCTTAGGCTCCCCACGTTCCCCTCCCTTGGTGGCAGGTGGCAGCGGGCCCGCGCACGCGCACGGGAGGGGGAGCGGCACTGGCCTGCAAGAGAAGGGCGGGCGAGGGAAGGAGGTCGATCCGAACAGATAAGACTGAGAAAAAACAACACTAGACAAGATGAAGTCCGCTGCCCTTCCAGAGGGCGAAATTGATGGCAAGGATGCGCGATAAGGATACAAGCCCCTTGGACGGGGGCTGGTCGTCGAAAGTAGTCAAAGATAGACCGAACAGGCAAATACGCAAGGGCACCCGGTGCCGCGACAACCAGCCTCGAACCGATCCCTATCACTTAGATCGGGAAGCCTACGGCGATGGCAATCTGGGGGATGCGACCTCAGAAGCTGAGGAAGTCCCTAATATTGGCATCGAGATCAGGTGATGGCAGCCATAGGAATACGGATCCGTTTCAAGTTGATAAGGGTGGCAGGCCGCGCGGCGGCCTCGAAATCCCCCACGACCTCACCGCACGGTCCCTCGCGGCGCGCACAAGAGTGTAGGGGGGGAAAGGGGGGAAACTTCTTAGAAGAAGGCTGCTACTTGGAGGATGCCGGCCTTCTTGTCGGACCTCGGAGGCCGCAGAGCCGCCCGAGACGTGCTCGGAGAACGTCGAGCCCCAAAACCGCGCCGTCGACCCGATATCAGAAGAACAAGCTGCATAACCATAGATTTTCGGAACTCCGCGTGGATGTCTTGAATCGGCGCTGGGTCCCTGTCGGCGCCTCCACCGCCTCCCTGGCGCGCTCCGCGGGGTCCAGCGCAGATCCAAGAAATCCGCACGCCCCTCCCAACATTGATGGTTATGCAACTGTATTGCCTTTGACTCGGATACCCACGGACTCAGCCCGACCGTGTGGTCACCTCTGTAGCGAATCCGGAGGCGTCCCAAAACTGGAGGAACAGAAAATGGCTCGGAAGTCCGCGCGGATCTCTTGCATCGGCGCTGGGCACTCCTCCCGGGCGCGCAGAGCGCGCCAGTGGTGGCGCCCGAGGCGCCGACAGGGTGACCTAGCGCTGATCCACGAAATCCGCGCGGAGCTCCGAACATTTGTGGCTCTGCGTCGTCCTCTGCTCTCCGATAGCGCCAGCGGGCTCTTCTTGGGGCCCTGGCCGCCCGCGTCAGGGCAGTGCCCACGGGGCGCGCCGCCTGCCGGCCCCGCCGGGGGGTCCACCCGCGCGGCGGCGGCGCCCACAAGGCTGTCCGGGAGTTGAGCCTGCAGCCCCCGCTTGCCAACGGTGAACAAGAGCGTGGCTCCCCTCTCCTGCAGGGTCCTGCAGAATCCTGTCTGAGAGGGGGGAGCGATGAGCTCATCAGCGCACCTCCAGGGTTCCCCGGGCCTCCAACTGCAGCCTCCGACGCCTCTAAGATACCCAAGATGTCGCCCAAGGTCTCTAACCCAAGGTGTCGCATCAACTGGCCGCTGGACTAGCCGAAGAGGCGTCCAAGAGAGCCCCAGAACGGCCCGAGAGGCCACCCAAGGGGCCCAAGAGGGCACCCAGAGGAGCTTCAGAGGTGAAGCCGAACGAGCTCTGGCAGCCCACTCCGCCGAAATGACCCACCCAGGCCCAAGATGCCCCAAGAGACCCCTAGAGAGGCCCAAGAGGCCAAAAACTTGCCACACTATTACTCAAGAGGGCCCCTGAAATTCCACAAATGAGTGGCCAAATATGGATGGACAAAGACTCCGATGAGGCCACCAGAACAAAAGATCCGCGACAGCCTTACGCTCGAAGTCTCGTCCCTCTCTCTCTCTCTCTCTCTCCCCAATGATATGACCAGGGAGGTCGAAGGGAACACGGCCCAGATGCAACCGCCCCTCTCTGGCCATCGTGGGCGCCTTGTGGGCCGTTCTCGGACCGTCTTGGCCCCGTCTTCGTCTCTTCCGGCGGGAACTGGAATGGACGGGCGGTGAAGGCGATGCGTTTTGAACGAAACACATTCCAGCAAGAAATGCGGGGTCAAGCGGTCCGGGAGGCCCCGCGGCCCGAAGATACCCTGTCGTCGGGAGCATGGGCTGATCCCCTCTGGGACTCTCCAAGCCTGTCGCGGCATGGGCTGGGTGGTCAGGCATGGGAGCTTCACACAGTCGCACGGGCGCCCCGCTAATGAGACTGTGTACCTCCCACTAAATCCCAAGTGCGACCCAACAAAATACCACTGAATCCTTCTAACCCCTAATCGAGATGTCCCACTGGATCTCACATGAACATCCACTAGATCCCTCCAACATGAATTGAACAGTGGGTTGAAATACGTGTTAGGTCGAACAGAAGCTCCCATACTTGGCCACCTAGCATGAGGCCCCGCAGCGCGGTCACGCTGGGAAGTACCACTCGCACATCGGGATCGACACGGCCGCGATGCAGAACACGAGGCCAGCACCGACCTTTCCAAAGTCAGCGAACGTGTAGTCGCCAGTGCTGTACGCCATCAGATTCGTCTGGTACGAAATCGGGCTCAACATCTGGCACGATACGGATATGCACAACACCGCGATCACCTGCAGAGGGAGAAAAAAACGGCATCAAACAACAAACATTGGAACTCCGCGCGGATCTCTTAGATCGGAGCTGGACCCCCCTCCCTGACGCGCGGAGCGCGCCAGCGGCGGTGCCAGAGGCGCCGCCAGGGGAGCCCGGTGCTGATCCAAGAAAACCGCGCGGAGCTCCGATGGTCAATCGTTTACGCAACTCTTGTCCTCTTCGAACCTGGTGGATGGGAAGCTGCATGTCCCGCGACACCTGTGCGCAGATGGGGTACATCAGCACCACCACCGCGGTGCCGTGGAAGATCACGCCCAGGGCGACGGTAGCGGCGAAGATGGCCACGAGGAGTCCCCGGCTCCCGAAGCCTCCCAGGGCCGAGATGAGGAGGTCGGAGAGCACCTCCGCCACGCGCGCGTTGCCGATGGCCTTGCCGAGGCCGAACGCGCCCACGATGGTGAACACCGTCCGGAGCTTGACGGCCCGGACCACGGAGTCCATAGACGTGCACCCTGTGAGGACCTGGAGCCAGGGGAGAGAGGTAGAAAGACCTAAGCTTTCGGAGGTCCGCGCGGAGCTCCGAAAGTTTATAGTATTTTGCAGTGGTCCCTGGTTCGGGGACCAGGGCGAAAATGGCGAGGAAAACGCCCTCCAGCAGCTCCAGAGTGTTGGAGGCGACGACGGCGATGAGCCCCAGCAGGATGCAGCCCGACACGGGCGCGGCGTAGCTGTCCCTGCCCTGGACGTCGCCCTCCAGGTCGCTGGAGGTGAGCCTACGCAGCACGATGAAGTCGGAGCTGTCCTTGGAGGGGGGGGTGGGGGGAAACTGCACAACACATACTCAGACTTTCGGAGCTCCGCGCGGATCGCGTGGATCGGCGCCGGGCCCTCCTGGCGGCGCCTCTGGCGCCGCCCCTGGCGCGCTCCGTACGCCAAGGACGGGGGGTCCCAGCGCCGACGCGAGGAATCTGTGCGGAGCTGCACCAATTCATGTTTCATGCAGCTTGCGCTTCTCCGATCTCCTTCCAGGTGCTGTAGAAGCTCGGGGGGGCCAAGAAGATCACGTGGTCACCGTGCGCGAGCCTCACCTCGGGGGTGGCGCCGGCCCTGCTGATGCCCGCCTTGCCGCCCCTCCTGCTGAAGCTTCGCTTGAGACCGGGCACGCCGGACTCCTCTGGCGGCCGCCCGAAGGTGCGGAGCGGGCGGGGTCGGGGGATCGCTCCGCACCAGCGATGTCGGTATGGAACATACCTGGGCTCCGGATCGCGCTGCGCACCGCGGATAACTCGGCGACGCGGCGCGATCCTCCGCCTGTTTCTACGCTCTACTGTTCCCCAAAGCCCCGAGGCCCCGTTTGGGCGGCCCAGAGCCTCCGAAGCCTCGCTTGTGGCGACGGACACCTCCCTCTCCATGATCGTCTCCAGCCTCTGCGGGGACAAAATGATACCGACAGCGCTACTCTCCCGACACGTCCTGGGCTGCGTTCTGACCAGAATTTTTCCAGGCGGACCCAGCCGTGACGACGATGAACTCCCCAAGGGCCCCAACAACAGAGAAAACCGGGGAGACGTGAGCCTCGGGTTCGGGTGACTCGGGTTGGCCTGGCGGGCAGGTCAGGAATAGGACGAGGCCCAGTCTGAAATGTGACGCGACCTCCCGCTGAAAACATTCCACGAAAACTGGACCGTCGAAATCCAGGATCAGATCGTCAAACAAGGTCGGCAAACCCGAGTTCCGGCGAACTCGATCGAGTCTTACGTTTCCCAGAAGAGAAAACGAACAAGGATAGCAATGTGGGTACCTTTATCTCCTCTGATCCTCGTAGTCTGGCTGGAAATCCGCCGCTGCTCGCCCGCCGCCTTCGCGGCGGCGCGACTGTCCGAGAACTCCCGATAGGCCACGATGCAGCAACCGTACTCCGGGCGGTACTTGCTCGCGTCCCCGACCCGGTGGGTGACCACGGGCGAGTCCTTCTGGCAGCTCTGGGCGTCGCTGAAAAATTATGGCAGCTGTTTTTACCAAACATCCTGTGGTGTTGGGTCCTCGTTTTGAAGAGACGGTCCATGCGTCCTCCTCCTCCTCCTCTCCTCCTCCCCCTCCTCCCTCCCTCCCTCCCTCTTGACACAGCCCTCACACGCATCGTGGCCCCATAGGGAGCTCCACTAAGGCCCCAGTGGCGCAGTCCGCATGGCGACGTAGGGAGCTCCACCTAAGGTCCCAGTGGCGCAGTCCGCATGGCGGCGCCGCCCCATTTTGGAACAGCCCTCACTCGCTTGATGGCCTCATAGGGAGCTCCACCTAAGGTCCCAGTGGCGCAATCCGCATGGCGGCGCCGCCCCATTTTGGAACAGCCCTCACACGTTTCGTGGCCCCATAGGGAGTTTCACCTAAGGTCCCAGCGGCGCAATCCGCATGGCGGCGCCGCCCCATTTCGGCACAGCCCTCACACGTTTCGTGGCCCCATAGGGAGCTTCACCTCAGGTTCCAATGGCGCAGTCCACATGGCGGCGCCGCCCCATTTGGAAACACCTCTCACACGTTTCGTGGCCACATAGGGAGCTCCACCTAAGGTCCTGCGCATCGTTATTATCATTGCCATCATCGTCGCTCGCCCCTCGCACTGTTCGTGGCCCCATAGGGAGCTTCACCGAAGGCCCCAGTGGCAGCGCCTGCATGGCGTCCCCACCCCATTTCGGCAAATCCCTCACACGTCTTGTGACCCCCTAAAGGAGGCTCTACAACAGGCCCCAGCAGCAGCGCCCGCATGGCGGCCCCGCCCCATTTCGGCACACTCTTCACGCGCGTCGTGGCCCAATAAGGAGATCCACAAAAGGCGATACAAGCAACGACGGTATTCACAACTGCAAACGGTTGGTCCTTCGCCACGCTAATTGTTCAACGCTGTTTATCGGGCAACGGACATCGAATATTGGCCTGCATCACGCACCGCGTGGGTACCGCAGGGGTGCGGCCGACGCGAATTGCTAGCAGAAATGGTGCAATTACAACCATCTATGAGACAATGCATGACGAACACGGCTAACATACATGAACTGTGCGCGAAATCATCGCCGGCTGGCCGCACATCGGACGATGTCGCCAGCTGGCCGCTCATCTGCTGGCCGCTGTTTCTCGGGTGAACGGGGGGGCAGTATACGTAGCTTGCAGGACTGTGCACCTTGCGTGGACGTTTTGGACCTGCGGTGGCAGTCCCGGCGCCATTTAGGGCCACTTTCTGGCAATCCTCGCGCCCCCAAAAGCTATTATTGCCCCCCCCGTTGCCCTCCTCCCCGGTATGCTGATTCGGCCTCTGGATATCGCTCTCCAGCCCCAGGACCGTCAAAACTGCTCAGGCTGAAATACATGCCCCAAGCAGCGTGTGTGTATATATATACATGTATATACACATACACATATATACCTATGCATGCATACAGCTATCTATACTAGAAGCACGCGCGCGCTCAGCGCGCGCGCTTAGGTTCTAGCGCAGTCCAAGCCAACCGTACAAGATCGGATGAGCATGGACATCATCCCATAAGCGTGGCCATGTGGGAGCGCACTTCTTGGTGGTTTCTTCAGGAGGCGCTGAATAAGGCTCCAAGAAGTCGCGCAAGGCATCCAAGAGGAGGACCCAGGGCAGCCTGAGGGTGATGCCCGAGAACCCCTCAGAGCCTGGCAAAACCATGCTGAGTCTTATTGGATGCCTGTGGGAGACGTTCTTGGGGAGCTCTTGGGGGTTTCTGGGGGGTGAGACATCCCCATCTTTTGTGGGAGTGTCCTGGTGGCCTCTTAAAACTCGTTTGGGGCGCTTCGGAGGCCTCCGGGGGGCGTTTGGCATCTGGGCTCGAAATGTCCGTTTGGATCCCAGCTACTGCCCCTGTCTTGGGGCCGTCTTGAGGGCCTCTTGGGCCATCGTGGCGGTACCATCTGGGGCCGTCTAGGTGTTCTCTTGCGTCGTATTCGGGCCGTCGCGGGGACCTCTTGTGCTGTCGTGGTGCTGTCTTGGGGACCTCTTAGGCCGTCTTGCAGCGTTGGGAAGCCGACACAGCATGAGGGAGGTGGAGAGAGGAAGGCGTGAAAGAGAGACGAGAGGGAGGGAGGAGGGAAAATGACACAGCGGGGAGGAGGCAGGCGGAGAGGAGGCAGGCGGAGAGGAACGAAAAAGGATGTGAAACGGGCGACGCAAGAGAACCAGAAACAAGAGAAATAACAAAGATAACGGACAACGAAGGATGGGAAACACGGAAACACACTCTGGGGCACGCACGCCAAAACCTGGGACAAGAGGAAACGGGGGGGAGAGTGGGAGAGGAAATAGGACGTGGAACGGGAGACGCAGGAGAACCATGAGCGAAAGACAGATCGGACCGAACAGCGAGGGGTGGCGGAGACGGAAACGCAGGAGGGAGGCGGAGAGACGAAGGCGTGAATGAGAGACGAGGGAGATGGAGGAGGGAAACTGACGCAACGGGGAGGAGAGAAGAGGAGAGAAAGGAGGTGGATGTGGAACGGGAAGCGCAGGAGAACCAAGAACAATAAAGAGAGATCAAAAAGTAGGGACAGCGAAGGATGGGACAACGGAAACACACTCGGGGGCACGCCAACGCCTGGGACAGGAGGAAACCAAGGGGGGAGGCCCTTGAACAAACACATGAGGGACATCCCTTTCTTTTCAAGCTGGGCCTCTTACCACTGAGTGGGGCAGGGTGCTGGGTGAGCGCGGCGGAGGAAATAATGAAGGAGAGATGAGGATGAGGTAGGCGGGGGCGGAAACGCATGAGGGAGGTGCAGAGAAGAATCGTGAAGGAGAGACGAGGTGGAGGGAAAGGGGGGAAACGGAGGAGGCGGAGAGGAAGGATAAGGATGCGGAACGTGAGACGCAAGAAGCCCAAGAGCAGCAGAGAGAGTAAAGCGAACGGACAACGAAGGATGGGGGGACACAGAAACGCACTCGGGGTCACGCAGAAACCTGGGACAGGGGGAAACGGATGGGGGGGTCGACCTTGAACAAAAGCGGGGAGAAGGGAATGGGAGAACGGGAGACGCAGGATAATCAAGAGCAAGGGAGAGATCTGGGATAACGAACGGCGAGGGGTGGCAGAGACGGAAACGCATGAGGGAAGCGGAGAGACGAAGGCGTGAAAGAGAGACGCGGAAGAGAGGGGGAAGGAAACTGACGCAGCGGGGAGGAGAGAGGCGGAGAGAAAAGAGGTGGACGTAGAATGGAAACGCAAACTAACCAAGAACACGAAACAAAGACCAACAAAAACCGGACAGCGAGGGATGGGGAAAACGGAAACGCACTCGGGAGCACGCCAAACCCTGGGACAGGAGGAAACAAATGGGGAGGATCTTGAAACAAAGGATTTGATGGATTTCCCTGGGGTGAACCTTGGATGCCTCTGGGGCGCTCACGGGGCTATCTTGGTTGGGTCCGTCCCCTGGTAATTTGCCTCTGAAGGGTCTCTTGGGAACCCCAGGGAGGCTATTTCTTCGGGCGTTTCTGAAAACTGTTTGGCCCTGATAATGATAGGGGGCACCTTGAGCTCGAAGACGGCCCAAGATCGCGTCAGGACGCCTCTCCTCTCTGGAAGCTTCGGGATCGCCATGAAGGCCTCAGGGCGTCTGGGGACACGGGCTCTTGGGTGCCTCTTGGGGCTTCCTGGGGGCCAAATCGGGGCCTGTTGGGTTTTTTTTTGTGGTTTCCTGGGACCTCCTAGGGGAGTCTTGGGGCCGAAGGCTTGAAATATCCTTTCGGGTACCCTCCAATTGGGGCCGTCCTGGGGCGATCATGGGCTGCCTCGGGGGCCTCTTGGGCCTTCTTGGGGCTCTCTTGGGCCGTTTTGGATTTCTGTAGGGAGCCTTCTGGGCCGTCTTAGGGCGATCTTGGAGGCCTCGCAGGCCGTCTTGGATGCTCCGACAGCTCCAGAGACTCTTCTAGACATATACGTCTTCCATGGGGATTGGGGCCAGTTGTGCCTCTTGAGGCCCTCTTGGGAGTCCTCTTGGGGGCCTCTTTGGGCGCCTTGGGGGCCTCCTGGCCCGTTTTGAGGCCGTCTTGGGCGTCTTGGAACGATAAATCGGCGACCTCGGGCCGCCTGGTGCAATTTGAAAGCCTGCCGCACGTACGCGGGAGGGCCAAAAGCCGCCCGAAGAAAGGGCCAAAGGCCGGGTACTGAAATCACCGCTTTTCGAGCCCCCAGAAAATGGACCCCGTACCGATTATATCAATATAAACGTCCGCAGGTGCCAACGTCACGAGAAAGGTGCGACGGCGAAAGAGAGAGACGAGGGAGGACCGTACTCATATCCATGCCCTCGAGGTCTGGATGCCGAGGCGGGATACCGTGGATGCGCGACCCCGTGTGCACGCCTCGCGCGGGGCGTCTGGGCAAAGCCGCCCTGTATCAACCGCAGGGTCGCGGCAAACGGGTCCGGACTGCGAGGCCGTGGATGCGGATGCGCTTCCCGCCCACGATCCTTATCGAGGACCGCCTCCACCAATACGCGCACCTGCGGCCTGAGGCTCCCCGGCTCGTCGCTCAGGTCGAGCGCGAGCAGCTGGAGCCCATCAAAATTGAACAAACTGACCACACTCTCCACCGTTGTGTGAACCCAGATGATATCGTCCACCTCCAGCTCGAGGTCGACCACGATGTCGTCCACCTTCAGGAATGTGCCGTACCTGCAGTCGATCTCGCGACCCATCGTAGAACGGCCTTCCTCCTCGTATATTTTCCTCCCCCTGCCCCTCCGCGTCCTCCTCGCCCCCCATCCGCCTCGTAATTGCGATCCTCCCCCTCCTAGCTAGGCCCTGTGCTAGAGACATTTGAGGTTTAAGGGCTGGTTCCCGTCAATGGAATGGTGTGCTGGGAACTCGGCGGTGGTTCATGGATGGTGTAAGGTTTGTTCCAGTGGTTTAAGTTTGGGCGGCGCCCAAGTCCCCAGGCATATGGTTTCAAATCGGTGGTTTATGCCATCTTGGCGTTTGCAATACCAAGCAAATGTAAACCTGGGCAACCAACAAGCATGACAATCAGGGTTCCAGCAGCACCACCGAACCACGTTTAAACTGTGACGCCGCGCCCCATCCGTAAGCGTCAAAGGTGGTAGTTATGCAGCTTGAGAGGTAGCGCAAATAGAGCGCTTGAAGCTTTGAGCCAAAATGGCAACGGTGGTGGAGGAGTTCCTCCTCCTCCTTCTTCTCCCCCTGCCGTTCTCCTTCTGTCCTCCTCCTCCTCCTCCTGGTCCTCCTCCTCCTCCCCTTCGGCCTCCTCTTCCCCCGCCTCCTCGTCGTCCCGCCTAGGCTTCTGCTCGAGGGGGTGGAGGGCGGGGAAGGAGCAGGCAGGTGGGGGAGGTGGAGGAGCAGAGAGGCAGGAGAAGAGGCGAAGGAGGAAGCGGGGCAAGGAGCAGGAGCAGGCGAAGGCGAGAAGGAGGTGGAGGAGGAGGTGGAGGAGCAAGGAGGAGCAGGAGGAGGAAAACAGAAATCGAGCGGGAGGGTTCACGCCCCTCCGCGCGATGCATCGCCGTCCTGCCGTCCAGGGCCCACGCTGTCGCCGCGCCGTCGGGCCGCTTCGAAACGCGAGTGGGTAGTGTGTGCTTCCTCCTATTCCGCCTCCTCCTCCTCCTCCTCCTCCTCCTCCCCCGCCTCCCTCCTCCACCTCTCACCCCTCCTCTTCCACTCTCGCCAGTCCTCCCCCCTGTCTCCTCCCTCCCCCTCCTCTCCCTCGCCGCCCCCCATTCCTCCACACTCCTCCTCGCTCGCCTCCTCCTCCTTGTCCTCCTCCTCCCCCGTCTCCCCCTCCTCCTATCGAGGGCGCCGTGCGCCGCGCGCGGCCGTGGGCCTACTGGAGGCCCGCCGCCTCCGCGAAGTGCTTCAGCACCTCGCGTCGCTCCCGATGCATCGCCGACGCCGCCTGCGTCGCCATATAGTCAAGGTTCCACGTCATCACGGCGCGCTGCACGTCGGCCGATGCAGCCTGGGCGTCGTCGTCTTCGTCGTGGCGTCATCGTCCTCCTGATCCTCCTCCTGGCCATCCTCCTGTTCATCCTCCTGGTCATCCTCATCTTCGCATTCGTCTTCATCATCCTCCTCGTCATCATCTGTACCATCATCACCATCATCCTTAGTTAGATAATCATCCTCACCATCTTCACCAGCGTGATCCGCATCGCCGTCGTCACCCTCATCATTCACACCACCCTCATCATCCCTACGACCACCACCACCACCACCACCACCCTCATCACCGGCGTCATCGTCATTAATAGACTTGTCATCGCCATCTCTACTGACATCATCGACCCTTCTTGCATCGCATCGTCATCATCATCACCATTGTCATCATCAACGCCTCATGGATCGTCATCGCCATCCTCAGCACCACAAGTACGTCATCAACGTCGTCCTCACTAGGATCACCATCGTTTTCATCATCATCCTCATCATCATCGTTATCCTCATCCTCCTCAGCATCATCATCTTCATCATCATCATTATCAGTACCCTTCGTCCTCCTCCCCCGATCCCTCTCTCCTCCCCCTCCCCCCCCCCCCTCGCCCTCGCCCTCCCCCTCCTTCCCCTCATCTCCTGCCTCCTCTGCCCCCACGTCCTCCCTCTGTAAACCGGAGGGGGGGGGGGGGGGGAGTGGGAGGAGGAGGGCGAGGAGGAGAAGGAGGGAGAGGGAGGAGCGAGAGGGAGGAGTGAGGAGGAGGGAGACGGAGGAGGATGAGGAGGAGGATGACAAGGAGGAGGAGTGAGAAGGAGGAGGAGGAGAAGAAGGAGGAGGAGGCGGAGGAAATCGCGGAGGATACGAGGTCAAGGATCGAAGGAGGGGGTAAGGAGGATGATTTTCAAGCAGCGCGCCTTCATCCTGTTCTCCTTGTGCAGGAGAGGCAGCGCGACGATGTGGGCGAGCGGCGTGCGCTTCTGCACGGCCTCTTTCGGGAAGAGGAGCGGCATTGCCATGACACCGAAGGGGGCGCGCAGCACCTCGGACTCCTTGAGGCGCACGATGACCGACACCTGCAACGTGGCCGCCCCCTGCTCCGTCTCCACGTACTTGAGGAAGTCCTTCAGCGAGACGCCTTGCGCGAGCACCGACGACGCGGGGACGCAGATCGCGAAGAGCTCGTCGTCGGTCATGCTCGCGATGAGGCTCTGGAACCCGACCAGCGGGAACGACGCTGGGCCATAGCGAAGGACGTCGGCCTTGACTGTCACCAGCCACGGCGCAGCACCGCCGCTGCACAGCTCGTGGAACCCGTCGCCGAGGACCGAGAGGTCAGTCGTATTCCAGTCGCTCGCCGCGCGACATTGGCAGCCAAGCAACTTCTGGTTGCTGTCGAAGTGGTTGGCGTGAACCGCCATCTTGTTTGTGATGTTCTGCTCGTTGCTAGCCAGCATGGCGTTGATAGCCTTGAACATCTCTGGGTTCTCGTCGCTCCACACCGTGATCTTCTGCTCGTCGATGCTGGTGCCGTTCAGCTCCACCGAGCCCTGGAACAGCAAGGGCTTCTGCAACTTGCCTCCCTTGGCACAGGGCTCGCTGACCAAGGATTTGTTCTCGGCCTCGCCCCTCATGGAGTAGATCGTCCTCGAGATGTTGTCCGCAAACTCCTTCGTGAAGGTGCCCTTCATGAGCCTGCGATGTATCTTCACGCGCATGTTGTAGTGATTCATGGACTCGAGCTGCTTGCCGTGCCCGCCCTTCTCGGCGAGGTAGCGGAGGCCGTCCAATTGCGTATGGACTAGCCTCTTAGTATTCTCGATCTCCGTCATCTTGATGTCAAGCCGCGCGGCAATCTCAGAGAACGAAGCCTTGTTGCAGTCGGCGCCGAGGTTGTTGATATCATCATGGATCTGCTTCGCCATCTGGGTGGCGGTGTCTATGAGCTTGTCGGTCGACATGTCCAAGTCTGCTTGCGCCGAGATGCCCGCCGTGGAGCTCGCGTTCCTGAGCTGAGCCAATAAGCCAGATCCAGGCGCCATGAAACCAGAGTGAACGTGAGAAGCCATCTCAGACCAGCGCCGCTTGAGTTCCATGAACACGACGGGGTTCATCTGGCCGGTGTCGCTCTTCACTGGCACAGTGCGCTCCCTGGTCGCGTCGTCGATGTTGACGTCACCCCTGGGCTTGAAGAGCTTCTGCATGTCACCCTTCTCCGAGGGCGTTCCCTTCTTGGACTTCGCGCCGCCCTTGCCTGCGTCTGCGAGCCCACCTCCAGCAGCGACCTCAGAGCGAGGCGAGTTTGCCAGGGATAAGGTGTGGGCCTCCAAGCTGTCCACGCTGCTGGCCGCGCTGTGACCTTTGTCGCCGTAGGTGAGGTAGTGCTCGGCTGAGCGGGCGCTCGTCGGTACATGCGATTGCGGTGGCCCTTGAAGTGCCGACGCAGCGGTCGACATCTTTGCGTCGAGGCACCTGCGCTTCACCTCGGCATCGCACCCCGACGTCTCCGACTGCACGGTGATGGTGGCCTTTGACTTGCACTCACCAGTAGACTTCCTGACGCGGCCGATGTCCCGACAAGCGATCCTCTGCACAGCCTGCACCTCGCCGTTCGCATTCCACTTGATGTCGTGCTGGCCGTTCTGCTGACGGTGAATCACATCAAACTCAGCTGCGCTCTGCTCATCTGCCTTCCTGTGCCAGAAGCTCTCGAACGCTTGGTACTCGATGAGATCGACGACTAGCTGGTCATCGATGGTTGTTTTCAATATCTTTCGTCCTCTGCTCGAGCACAGAGAATGTTTTCTTGGTCGCATCTCTGGCTTGGGCCCTCGCTGGCTTCGATGGGTCGATCCAAGGTTGAACAGCAGCTTGCCAGGCAGGACGGTTGCACTCGAAGTCGCGGCTGTTCTGCCCCAGGATGCGTGCGCGTGCGTGTGTGTGTGTGTGGGGGGGGGGGGGGGGGGGGGGCGCAGCTTCGAGGCAGCGGTCATGAGCTCGCACTGCGTTGTAGCAGCGTCCGTCGAGCATCATGCCCTTGCAACCCTTCTTCTCTGAGTCCCCGTTCGCAATGTCCTGGTCGCAGAGGCCGCGCTGGTAGCACGGCAGGTCGCCATGCGAAAGCTCCTCTCCCAAGATGTCTTCGTCGCCCACAAGAGAAGATGCCATGTGGCCTGCGCGGTCTCGCACAGGAGCCGAGTGCGATCTGAGCGCCAGCTTCTGCGAACTCAAAACACTCGGCTAGAGCCCGAAAGGCTTACGATGAACACGTTTCAACTGTCCGCACTGGGATCGTTAAATGTTTCTTCAGGCATGGTCGTTTTGTTTCACAAGGCCCTCGATGTTTGCACGCTCTCCCGATGCCTAATCGCACACCCTATACACACATACAAACCTATGTTATGTTGCACCGTGCTGCTTGCCTAACTAAACTGCGTGAGGAGCCCACTGGGGCCCTAGCCCTGATGTTCTACCTACTGGGGGACATGGCGGAACCAATGTGTTATCTCTTGGCCTACGCCCTTTGGTCTGTGCTGTCTGGTAGGTGGTCTGTGCTGTCTGGTAGTCGGTTCAATGCTGTCTGGTAGGGTTGTTCACGCATTCCAGCTTTGCTGTCTGGCAGGTTTGCTCGGACTGGGTGTTTCACATCGTTTGCATGCGGAGGGGAGAAGTTGAGGAATGCAAGAAGTAGCAACCTGGAGGGGGACATTTTGAAACCTCAGCTGTGGTGCCACGC